ACACACACACATACAGTATATATTTTGAAAATATTTACATGTATATATTTATATTCATATAATTTATATTATATATAAATATATTTAATATCAAAACATAAAATATTTTTTCTTAAATATATACATGCATGTGTGTGTATTTTTATATATATAATATACACAGTACACACACATATATTATGTATACAAAAACTTTTATTTTGGATGTGATTAATCGCGATTAATCGTTTGACAGCACTAATATATATTTATATTATAGTTATATGTAATTCAAGTGGACGGGTTCTGAAAAACAGTGTTCATATGTGCTATGTAATATTTATACTCTGCATTGATACGTGATATAGATTAATCATGAACTAGCCTTTTGCAACTTATTAAACCACCAAATACTGTGATCTATTGAGATATTGAAGAAAAGTATTAAATTAAAATAAATTATATAATGTATAAAAAGAATAATTTATTATAATTAGTGCTGTCAAATTGATTAAGCGTGATTAATCACATCCAAAATAAAAGTTTGTGTTTACAGTAAACGTTTGTTTATTTATATATAAATATACGCAGTACACACATAGTACATTTATTATGTTAACACAAGCTTTTAAACACAAACTATTATTATTATGATTGTATTGTTGTTGTTTCATATTACATTTTTATATGCAATTCAGGTGGACTAGGTTTCAAAAGTCAGTGTATGAGATATTTAATAAATATACAGAGCAAACCTTTAAAACACACACACATACAGTATATATTTTGAAAATATTTACATGTATATATTTATATTCATATAATTTATATTATATATAAATATATTTAATATCAAAACATAAAATATTTTTTCTTAAATATATACATGCATGTGTGTGTATTTTTATATATATAATATACACAGTACACACACATATATTATGTATACAAAAACTTTTATTTTGGATGTGATTAATCGCGATTAATCGTTTGACAGCACTAATATATATTTATATTATAGTTATATGTAATTCAAGTGGACGGGTTCTGAAAAACAGTGTTCATATGTGCTATGTAATATTTATACTCTGCATTGATACGTGATATAGATTAATCATGAACTAGCCTTTTGCAACTTATTAAACCACCAAATACTGTGATCTATTGAGATATTGAAGAAAAGTATTAAATTAAAATAAATTATATAATGTATAAAAAGAATAATTTATTATAATTAGTGCTGTCAAATTGATTAAGCGTGATTAATCACATCCAAAATAAAAGTTTGTGTTTACAGTAAACGTTTGTTTATTTATATATAAATATACGCAGTACACACATAGTACATTTATTATGTTAACACAAGCTTTTAAACACAAACTATTATTATTATGATTGTATTGTTGTTGTTTCATATTACATTTTTATATGCAATTCAGGTGGACTAGGTTTCAAAAGTCAGTGTATGAGATATTTAATAAATATACAGAGCAAACCTTTAAATGTTTGTCTTGTTGAAGTTCAACTTGCAGTCACAATGTGTCAAAATAATTATGGTCATACAGTTTTGTATCTGTACATGACTAGAATTGGGAAGAATTTTTCTGCCGTTTGTCTCTAAATTTAGTAACAATAAAGAGGAGCACCAAAAGTCCATATTCACGCAGTGTGACAAGCGTGGCTTCCGGCTGAAAGACAACGTCCAGTTTCATCTTTATATCAGCACATCACCCTGTGGAGACGCCCGGATCTTCTCTCCTCACGAGGCGGGTGTAGAGGGTGAGACTGAGTCTTCAATAAAGCTAACTGTTCCGTTCTTTACACAGGATCTGGCGGGAGGTGGATGAGGATGTTACCACTTCCGGTATTTTGCCGGTTAGTCGACGCGAGCAAAATGAAGTAGAGGATTTTTTAAAAATTGAATAGTTGAATAAAATCGACGAATCGCGACAGCCCTAATGTTATTTTACTCAAACACTTGTTTGAAATGAATGATCAAAACTGAATAGTTGTATTCAATTAAGATTAGGTTGGGTCCTCTTATGATCAGGTCGCATTTCATTATAATTTCACTCGAGTGTCTGACTGCATTTCAAAAACAAATTTCATCAGTGTTTTTAATTAGCTGGCTTTGTTGACTCTGCTTGCGGCCTGATTGATTCCTTTCTTGCGTGTTGTATTTAAATCATTTTGCTTGGCTTTATATGTCATACAATTAAGCAGTTGAAGCAAAAAAAAAATCACAATTACTGTTCTTTGTTAGTGTTATTGGTTGATTAAATCAATTATTGGTTTGTCGAAGTAGATTAAACATTTTAAAAACATTGCCTGTAAGAGCCACCCGTTCTTTTTAAATGTTTATTTCACTGTCTAATTCATCTGTTTTTTCTGTTCTCTTCAGACCAGGGAGACAGACACCCAAACAGGAAGGCAAGGGGCCAGCTGAGGACCAAGATCGAGTCTGGAGAGGGAACCATCCCTGTGCGCTCTAGTAACACCATACAGACGTGGGACGGAGTCCTGCAGGGCGAGCGGCTGCTTACGATGTCATGCAGTGACAAAATCGCGAGGTAGATTGGTAGCATGCATACACGCATACATATCTACATAGACATCTTAACTGATGAAATACTGATAAAGTATAAATGTGAACAGATATATAAATGTGAACCTTGAAAAATGCAGTGGAAGTGCATAAATATAAATGTATCTGATTGCTCTGTGTCAGCAACAACACTAAAAGGGATCACAGCTGCAGAGCTCAGTTTTGAGGATGTTTCTATCTAATGTCAAATTATTTTTTACAAAAAACTGTTTATTAAGCTTATAGCTGTTAGTAGCTGTTACATTATAGCTGATTATCAAAAAATATTACAGTTATACTGCATTAGTTTGTTGTAAATTTTATATAGATTAAATAAAATTATTAAAATTAAAAAAATAAATATTGAAAATATTAATTTGTATTTTGAGTTTGTATGCATTTACAATATATAATTGTATATATATATATATATATATATATATACATATAATTTTAATTGTTAAGAAAACAGTAAATAAGCATTAAATGAAAAATGTGCATAAAAATATTTAATCTTAGTTGGCAATTTTTTTCTTTTGAGTCCTGAACTGATTTCCATAAGCATGTTATTTAATGACATTATTTGCTAATATGCATCTAAAAAATAACAAAATGTTATTTTTTCAATCAAATTTAGATTTAAAAATGCTACTTGTTGCTATTTAAAGAAATAAAAATATATTCCAGTTCTCTTAGCCGAGCTTGTTTGGGGTTGTAATGCTACATTTACAGTTTGGCCATAATGAGCATAATGTTCTTCCTACCTTTACTTCTAAAAATACTGTCTAGTTAGGCAGCTCCCTTACTTTTGGAGCGAAGCTATTGTCAGCCCTCTTCATTAGAATAGCAGACAGCTCAGCAAAAACATTAGTCCAGAACCTTCTGGTTAAACTCTCTGCACTAGGTAGACACTGTACCTGTCACCGCTGGGAGAGAAGAGAACAAGGGCTTTGTGAATTTAATTGCCCATTGGCTCTTCCCGGGCTTCATAATTGACAGGGAAAGAAGTGCATGGTTCAACATTACTATAACCCTAGTTAAATAAAGAAGAGCGTATTAACAGTGTAGGAGGGAGTGTTCATTTCTCCTGTGGGGTCAGGGTTGCGCTGTGTCTTCCTCTGTGAGCGGACAGATAAGAACGTGTCAGAGACAGCTGTGACCGGAGAGCACAGGTCCTGTCTATGCTGATGAGAGAAAAGAGAAAACCTCCTCCGTACACACACTTCTTTCACTGTCGCTCAATACTACATATATATCATCCTCATCCCACAGTTTTTATTTATCTTTTTTTTTATTTTTATTTTTTATTGTGTTTATTTATTTGTCCGCCCCCCCCCATTGAAAATACAGAACTACTTTTTCTCATTTTGTTTTGTTTTTAATCTAAAAATAAAAGAGCAAAATTGCTTTGCAAAAGCAATATGAAAGAATTGATCCCACCTAAAATTCAGTGTGGTCTTTTCTCTTTCCATATATCTCTGGTTTTTTTTTTGTTTTTTTTCTTTGTAATTCTAAAGGAGATGTATGACAGCTGAGAGGATGGGGATTGTGATTGTCAAGACTGTTTAGTCTCAGTGCATTACAAAAGACTACAATAAAAGAATATATACTGTACATATGACTCTTCTTAGTCTTCATCAGTCATACAATAGCTTTGTTTGAGGAACAGATTGAAATTGAGGTTACTATTCACTGAAAATCATGTTTCAAAGTCTTAAAGAAAAATAGAAAAATATTAGGGTTAACCTCCTTAATACCAGGGATAATTGAAACTAAAACTGAAACCAATTTCATTACTTGAAACAAAATAAATATTAACTGGGAGGAGGGAAACATATAATCGTGAGTAAATGTAGGAGTTTCTTTCTTCTGATGAACACAAAAGATGATATTTTCAGGTGACGGTTCACTGTAGCCATTGACTTCCATAGTATGAACATTTGGTTTTTTTTTTTTATTAAAGTTTTGGGTGAACTGTCCCTTTAATACATGTATACTGTATGTATTAGCATCTATAATGAGAAATAGACAGTGAGCGTTTCATGTTTTCAGTGTCTGTTTTCTATCAGATTCAGTTTATTGCTCTGGTTTTCCTAGGAAAGTGGTGTTTAGTCAGGGCTGGGCTGGTTTATGTGTTGCTCAGGGACACTCACACACAGCAGAAGTGATGTTCACAGCTCACTCTCAAGGAAAAGCAGCCCATCTGCTGAGATGTATGAGCGTGTGTGTTGATAGAACTCTGTGTCTCATCCATCAGGACCTGTACCTGCTCTGCTAGTAACATGACCAGATGTAGGTCTCAAACCGGGACACAGCGGGTGGAGGGTGTTCCTGTGAATTTTTCATGGGAGGTGCTGAGCCACTCATGTCTGAAATAATGCTAAGAATAAAAGTAGCTCCAATACATGTTGTTTATTTCAGTGAAACAGTGAAATCTGTCTGGGTTTAAACCCTCTTTGTGGTCACTACTCTCCTGTTTTATTATTTTGCATAAACTTACAATATAATTAAATGCAAAAAAAAAAAAACTTAAATAATACATTTAATATATTATTTAATAACATATAATTATATATTTTTTCATATACTTAATATATAATTTTTTTTAATTATTTATTTCTGTGATGGCTTTTCAGCAGCCATTATTTCAGTCTTCAGTGTCACATGATTCTTCAGAAATTATCAAGAAAAATCTTTTGTATATCCATATTCAAAACGTAATAATCACTTTAATCTAGCTTGCGTCCTACACGGAAGCAGTTCTGGGCGGATGACGTATGAGTTCAGCATTGCGCATGCGTCAGTGAGTCTCGTGAAAACCAACGTTTGTTAACAGTAGTTACTTACTTTAACAAAGGAAAACCAGTCTCCTCTTGGCTAATATTGAAATCCTCCAACATCCTTCTTTTATTACTGTCGGGGATCGAGGCATCAGTTTATTGTCGGGGATCCAGTGCAGACAGTCACTGATTATAATGGGTTCAATAGTAGGCTATTTTGTCGCACCGCTCACGTCCAGTGTAGACACGGTACGCCTAGTTATCTATTGTGGTAATTTGCAGGTCGTGCAAGTTGTTGGTCTAGATAAAAAGCTGTATTCTGTATGTTTGACTCGTGTGCGATAATTTTCTTCCAAATACGATAATTTTGAGCTTCTGGTACGATACTTGGACATTTCTAATCTGGCAACACTGGGAAACGCTTGTCAAAGTGTAAAGTGGTTAAACAACAGTCAAGCTGCTTTTTTGGTCAAGTAGTTAAGTCAAGTATAGTGCTTTACACTGTACAATGCATATTGTTTTAAATCATCAAATATGAGATAAAGACAAATACTGTAATTATTCAGTTCAACTCAATGTTGATTCAGTTCATTCAATAATGGTCAATGTAGCAAAATTCATCAATTATGCGGTCAGATGGATAATTTTATTGAGTAATAAGTGTATTTTAAAGTTGTTAGAAAAACTACTAGTAGCTTGCCTAACAAAAACCTAACTCTAATAAAAAACTAACCAAAAGATGCTCAAAGAGGCAGTATCGTTTAAATGCATAACTATCATATTTAATAGTTTTGAATTTAATGCATACATATATGTGTGTGTGTGTGTGTGTGTGTGTATATATATATATATATATATACACGCATACTACAAAACAGAAAAATGACCTAAGTGTTTGTGCTCTAAATGAATCAGATTTTCCCACTTTAATTTCGAACGTTTAGTTTGAACTTTTTTCTGTCCAATAAATGTGCAGACAGTAGTTCTTACTTGAAAAACTACACTATTAGAGCTTCTTTACTGCAAAATTTGAATTTGTCTCCTATTTGATGATTGTTTTTTCCCTGTTCATCATTGTAAAGCTGCTTTGAAACAATCTGTATTGTATATAAATGTAGCAATATATATAAAGATGACTTGACAGCTTTTTCAAAAAGCTGAGCTATTGTTATGCTACTGAAATATGATGTTTAAGTTAGTAGCGTTTCTACTTTTATGTAGTTTATACCCAGCACTAGGTTTAAGTGGACACCGGTTCCTGATTAAAGACTCGCTTGAGTTTCAAAATGTCTTTAGGGAGACGTTGGCCAGCTTTTGGAGAAGTATTTACGATGAATTGAGTACATATCCTTTCTTTCTTTGTGCCTCAAGAGAAACACCCAACACTGCTTTTGCACTGGGTTACATCAGATTCCCAGCAGAACTAGCTTTTAATGGCTCACTGCTGAAAATCTTCATTTGATGATGTGTCGTGGGAGGTTGAGGCATAGCGTACTCGACCTGAGCTCAAAGAACAACCCTTCTGCATTTGTCAACTCTTTTTGTTCTTGTCGTCTTGGTCTGCAGGTAAAGAGGTAATGCATAGTGCAGTGAGCCATTTATGCTTTACCTAAATATTCTTGAAATATTACATAATAGTATATTATTTAATAGATTTTAAACTTAAGAATATAAATATGAATGAATAATGGCATGCAGCCTTCAAGTGTTTTTCAAATAATTTCCGTTGCTTCAGGTTTTTCCAAGTAATTATTTAGTCAATATAAATTCAGTAGTTTCTGCTTTCTAGTTTGTTTCCGGTTTAGTCTGTTCTGTAACATTTTTCTGTGCTCTTTTTAAGTTCACGTGCAAGACTTGTAAAGCAGCATTAGTCATCAGACTTTCTGTTGAAGGTCTTATACTGAATACACAACCTTGAGCACATTGTTTTATCTGTGTTCTCTCATTAAAAACAAGTCTTGAAACGAATTTCTTCTTATTTAAGAAATATCTTGATATCAAGTCATCTGCATAAAAAGGGCCACACTGGATGTTTTATTCATGCAGAAAAGTAAACGCACCAAGGCTGATTCTGGGTGTGATTTTCTACTATGTTTAGTGTGTTTGTGTGTTTGCAGGAATCAGTAACGCCGCAAATGTTAGTATTTTTTAACGGGTCACAGACACTTATCCTTTCTAATTTAATTAAATTAGAATTAAAAAGAATCTTGTCAGTTAACGGTTCGTTTGCAGGAATCAGTAACGCCGAGGCCCGGCAGCCGGGAAAGGCTCCTAACTTCAGTGTGAACTGGACGGTGGGAGATCAGGCTCTAGAAGTCATTAACGCCACCACAGGCAAGGATGACATGGGCAGAGCCTCACGTCTCTGTAAGCATGCCCTATACAGCCGCTGGGTGCGACTACACTCTAAGGTACCGCTATCACAGATTCACTTTCAACCTTACTGCAGGACTTGGCTTAAGAAAAGTAAAGAAGTAAAGATATTATTTGTGTGTGTGTGTGTGTGTGTGTGTGTGTTAGGGATGTTCATTTTAACCGGTTAACCATTAACCGACCGTGAAGAATTTTGACCGATTAATACAATCAGTTAAACGGTTTAAAAAG